GGAGCTAAAAACACCTACATTTAAAAGCGCGGTTATAACTGACACTGTATCATATTATGCCACTTAAAGACATTTCACGTTAATACAGGTAATATGACATATTAAAGACAAACTATTCGTAAAATCTATTGGGCGGAAATTACTGATTTTAATTTTAAAGACAGACAGTTTTGTTTTTATCATTTATCAACTCAACGTTTGCCACATTCATTATTACATTATTAACTACAGCATGGTCTACTCGCAGGCCAGATTGAAACTGCTCGATCGTGGGCCCGAGCTGGCCCGCGTGCAGTAGTTTGTCCATGCCTGCTCTACATAAGCGCATATTGATGAAACACTGAGATGCTCCCCTAAATCACTATCTATTTACATCAAGGTGCCAGTATTTGTACTGATATGACACATATGGTATGTGCAAATAAAGGTGCCGATAATTAGTGTTAATGAGTATTATTTCTCACTACTTGTGCAGAATTGTAAACATATTTAATATCATATTAACACTGTTGCATTGACATGGCATATATGGCATAATACGTAAATAAAATGTTATTAGTTACTGTTCTGTGTATTATTCCTCACTACATCTCCTGAATTGTAAACATAATATCATATTAACACGGGTGAATTGATATGGCAATTAACAATAACGACTGCAGTGCCTCTTGTTTTTATATTAAGGCACATATGTCTCCACAATTTGTCCCCACTCTTTTTCAAGATCTTTACTTGGGGTCTCCCAGAATTGTTTCAAAGTTTCCCATCCACACATGGCTGTCGACAAGACGTATTCATTCGCTGGGTCAAGGTAGGCGTTATAAGCTCCATACACCAAGCTCTGGACCATCCTGGACGCTATGAGGTTGTAAAATACTTTTCTTTCAGCTTTATTGAGTTGGAGGATGGATGAATACCCCGCTAGGACGTAACCCGGGATCAGTGGGCGAGGTACCTGGGGAAAGGGAAAAGACCCCAAATTATTCAAAACAATGCTGAGCGTTTAGTTTTACAGAAATTTACTCTTTCTGCAGCCTTTCTACTGCTACTCCCTGGCTCCTTCTTACTGCTTTCCTCCAGCCACACTCCTGATCTTATGGTAGGTATAAGATCTAAGATCTAGCCTTCTCAGATAAAGACGAAAAATCTCGGAGGTCCCACGTGTAAGTTAAGCACGTTAAAGATCCCTTGGTTGTCCAAAATCGATAAGAGTAGGTTTTGGTCGCCACCCAGGCAAAATTCAAAGTTTCCTTCCAACTGAAAATGTGTAATGTTTCTAGGGCGCTCAAACGACCTTATTCAGTTGCGAGCGCCGTAAAACACGTACTAATTTTTTTTTTTAAAGAAAAAAGTAAAGCGAAACTGCAACACCTCTTATGGACACTGCTCTGGCTACCTGTTGAGTAGAGAAGTGTGAGCGAGTTGGCCACTTTATGTAACAAATTTTTATACTTGAATGATAATGCGCCACCATATTTATAAATTCTGTTCAAACTGTACACTCAACTCGCAATTTAAGCTCATCAGCTCACAAAAAGATATCATTTTTTTCCATGTATGAAGCTTAAAGCTAATTCTATTTCTATTGATTTATGAGATATATTTTACATAAAATATAGAGAGATATTGTGTAAGTCCAAACACTCTTTACTATTTATGTGTTATTGTAGAATTGTAAAGCGCTCTGAGCATGCGTAGTTAAATTGGGGTTGAGCACTATACAAATGCCATACACTATTAT